TGCTCATGAATCCTACATAATCATTCATGCATAACCATACTGACTACTTTTTAACATCCTGGTGCTACCCTGGCTTGAATGGAGGCAGAGGGAAGGATGAATACACAGTTTTCCAGGAGAGATAGTGGAGGGTGATTATTAGGGGCTTGAGGTCAGGTTGAAAAATCCAGATGTGAAGTCCAAGCAGCAAGAGAAAGGGGTTCAGGCCAACATACTTGAAGCAGACCCAGAAGGAACTTCTGGAGTTTAAAAGGCTCTTTCTCTGGAACTATAAAGCAAATAGTGAATGTGAACATGGTTAGCTATAAAACAGCTTCAATGTCCGGGGCCTTTTCATGTGAGAGTTGAATTCATAAATCTGTCCTCTTGTCCTGAATCTCATGTCTATCAAAATTCCAAACAACCTTTCCTTTCCTTACCTGTCCTGATTCCTTTTGGTCCAGTTTGTCAGGACCAAGTCTGAGTGGACCAGGATAGGAGGAAGCCCCAGGTTCCTGGAGACCTCAACGAAAGGAATGGCAAGAGCTCTTGGCAGCACCTTTAGGACAGGAATCCAGACAATCAGCACATTCTAGTGTCAGAGGAAATAACCATGATTATCCTGTGATAAATGACCTGAGGACCAAGCTTTCATTCCCTGAGCTGGCCACATCCACGCTCCCCAGTGGTTCCTGGGGGGCTGTTTGAGAACACACTGCAGTAGATGAGAAGAATACAGCTATAAGACACACTCACAGGTGATGCACAGAGCCTCTGCTGGAAGACACACTCACAGGTCACGCACAAAGCCTCTGCTGGAAGACACACTCACAGGTGACCCGCAGAGCCTCTACTGGAAGACACACTCACAGGTGACGCACAGAGCCTCTGCTGGACGACACACTCACAGATATGCACAGAGCCTTTGATGGACGACACACTCACAGATATGCACAGAGCCTCTGATGGATGACACACTCACAAATATGCACAGAGCCTCTGCTGGAAGACACACTCACAGGTGACCCACAGAGCCTCTGCTGGAAGACACACTCACAGGTGACCCACAGAGCCTCTCATGGAAGACACACTCACAGGTGACCCACAGAGCCTCTGATGGACGACACACTCACAGATATGCACAGAGCCTCTGATGGAAGACACACTCACAGATATGCACAAAGCCTCTGATGGACGACACACTCACAGATATGCACAGAGCCTCTGCTGGAAGACACACTCACAGGTGACGCACAGAGCCTCTGCTGGAAGACACACTCACAGGTGACACACAGAGCCTCTGCTGGAAGACACACTCACAGGTGACCCACAGAGCCTCTGATGGAAGACACACTCACAGGTGACCCACAGAGCCTCTGATGGATGACACACTCACAGATATGCACAGAGCCTCTGATGGACAACACACTCACAGATATGCACAGAGCCTCTGAAAACCACAAAGAACAACGTTACCAACATGTTTATGTGTAAATTGGGAGCTGAGATCAGAAGAGGGAAAAATCTCTAGATAAATGACAGAAATAGAGATAGAAGTACAAATATGGATCACAGAGAAATAGAGTGTAGACATATATGTACATAGCCAAACAGAGGTGTGTCTCTGAGAGAGAGAGAGAGAGAGAGAGAGAGAGATGGGATCTGAGAGACTAGCATGCCCTAGGTAGGAATGTTGAGGACAGACCTTCCCAGTGCCTGTAGAACTGACTTGCGGTCACTTCCCAAGTCATGTAACCCTCAGGTAAGTCACTCAGCAGCCCCCATTCATCCTCTTTGCTCCCTTCTGACTCTCAACATAACTTTTTCCAGTTCCAACCTGTGCATTGGTACATGACATCACTCTTCCATGGGGATCCATGTTCATGGGAAACACAGAAAAAGAACCTGCGTCTTCTAAACTTTCCTCATGACCTTTGAACACAGATCTCTACCTGTCCATAAGTCCAGAAAAGTTGCTGGGTTCCATGGGGGTCCCCAGCCATGGAAAAGGCTAAATTAGTGGAGGAAAAAAAGCATTCCTCTGCTCCTCACCGCCACCAATTTTCCTCTTAAGACTGAGAGATCTCTGATGTGCGTGCGTGTGCGTGTGTGTGCGCGCGCATGTGCGGGTTACAGATCCGTCAGGACGCGGTAAAACGACACTGCCAGAAGAAAAGGTCCGGCAGGAGGAAGGGGTGATGGAAGTCCTCCGCTGAAACACCGACCTTCTCCAAAGCTCACCTTTTGTGGCTGGGTCTCTCCTTCCTGCCAGACGAATCCCATGGTGATCGCGCCGAGCACCAAGTGGGCCAGGCGCAGCTCGCGGTGGCCCTTGAGCGACCCGCAGTCCAGCAGCGGCATCTGTGCAGAAGGAGTTCTCAAGATGGACTCGCAGCCGCAGTGGCCGCAGCCTCGCACACACCTCTCCTCCGTGGAGGAGGCCCCAGCCCTCGGGGATGCTCTGGATCGTGGACCACCATGGGAGCATCCACCCGGGAGTCCTCCCTCCGGCCGGGTCTCTGCAGACTCAGCACCGCCCTGTGCGCTGCGGCCTGCACAGCCCACCACAGTTACGCGTTCGGTTTGAAATTTCCAGCAGCCGCATTTTCAAAGTAAGAAATAAAGAACAGGCATTCGTTTTAATATTCCTTGAGTCAATAGAGCAAAGATATTTCAGTATGTGATCAGCATAAAAATGTTGGGATATTATACAGTTTCTCTCTCAAAGTCTTCAAAACCTGTCTTCTTGGCCCTAGCCGCTTTGCTGGCATTTGAATCAGGCCTTCTCACAGGACAGACTAAGATGAAGGCGTAAGGTCCACACTGAGAATGTTTTCTGGAAACTTCTCAAACATTCCGTAGTCACTGGCCTCACCCCTCCAAAGATACATACAATTCAAAAACAATTAAAAGGATTCAGAAGGAAATAATATTTAAGGCACACCTTCGTACCTAATCTTTCCCCATACAAACAACAGTGAAATGGTTAGAGTGTCTTGGATCTGTTAACCTCCCTGGGCTGAAGGTAAGCATACACCCCACACCTTTCACTATCAGATGAGAAGCCTACACTTTGCAGAGATAAGTCAGCTTGATACCCCCTTAACATGAAGCATTTTTCCTTCTAGCTCCTCTCATATGAACTGGACTAGCTCCAAATGTTCTTAATATTTGTGGCGATCTCCATGCCAATATTGAAGATGCCTTAGCATCACAAGAGCCGGTGTTTCAAATTTCGAAAATTTTCTCAGTTCTTTTTTTGTTTAGTGCACAAAGAAATGTGTTTCGTTGTGACATTTTCATGCATGTGTATCATTACAGTTTGTTCTCACATTTTCCTCCCCTCCTGCCTGCAGGCTGTTTTCATCACGTCTTTTGTCAGGAAAGCTGCTTCTTTAAGCCCAAGCTGGTTTGCCAGTGCCAACCTTGTATTTAAGGCAGGGTGTGTTTGCTTTCTTTATTCACAGCCTTGACTGTCCAGTTAGACTAAGTGTCTGCAGAAAATAATGTCTCTTTAAAAAGCATTCTTTTTAAACTTACAAAAGCAACTGAAGACAGCTATAAAATATAAGGCAAAGATATGAATGTATCAAAAGCATATACACACTTTATTATAAACAGAAAGTGGTCTCTAGTGAATCCGTATCACTCCTGGAATAGAACTGACATTAGAAGTTTAGTGTGTTGTCTAGTGTCTAGGGCCACTTGCTAATTATAAATTTTTAAGCTGCAAATATTTTCTGTTGAGTAAAAAATGTAACCCTAAAGCTTGTGAGTACACTGTGTATCAGGCATTATTGGGTTGTGTATCTAACCTGGCAAATTATTCTCAATATTCATCTTGGAAAACTCAGGGCACACTCTAGGGTCTTTGAAACAGCTCTGCATCCTGCTGATTCCAGCATCAATGAACTAAGTTCAGTTTTGAACACATCACACTTACATAGACCACTTTCATTTTTAAAACTTTTTGTAAAGTATACTTTGATGCAAAAATGTTGAAAGATGAATAAATAAGACTTGTTTTTATAAAGAAAAGAATGACAATCTTTATGTGACACAGACCTACAATCCCAGCACTTGGGAGGCTGAGGCAGAGGACCTCAAGTTTGAGGCCAGCCTGGGCTACATAGTGAGACCTGGTCTCAAAAAGAAAAAAAAAATAATGTCTCTACTTATATCCATCTAAATATCTGTAAATATTAAGTAGCACATTCTCATAAGGTAGATGTTCGATATAATATATACAGTCTATAGTCTTGTACTATAGTCTTCTGGTTAGTAAACTATATAGCAAAGCTGTATTGAACCAGAAAGGCAGAGACACAGGCTTACACAGCCATTTAACAGCTGCACGTTTTCATTTATTTAACAGATATTTTTTATTAATGGAACTCCACAGGACCCTTGATTATTCTTTCATCTTGTTATCTTTTATTTACTGCTCCTGTTAAAACTGCTACAAAAACCAGCCTTGTATATTTTTCTTTGCTTTTTTTGAATGAGTGTTTTTGTGAGATTAATTCATAAAATGGAATAGCTGACTCAAAACGCATGCATCTTTAACATCTTCATGGACATTGTAACATTTCTTATCAGAAAGTGCCTTCCTGGGTCCTCTGTGTCCTGGCTGCCATCACTTCTCTTCTGCTCACTGCTGATCTGCCTGCGAAAGGCAGCCGTTTCATTGACTTGTTGATGAAGGCATTTTTATTTTCATTATGAACTCCTGCATTCTCTCCATAGCTGCACCACCCACACTCTTTGCCTGTTTTTCCCACTGATCATTCATCTAACCACTTGGTGCGGCTCATTTTGCTTTATGGATCCTAACCTTTGATATAATGTTATACAATTCTCCATAGTTTATTTTAAATACTGCCTAAATTTATTTCTCTTATTGTCTATGACCTGGGGGATATAAGCGGTTGCTTATCTATCTCTTATAGCAACCATGTGCTAAAAACGTACTAATTGGTGTAAAGGATCAAAGTAGAAGCAGTGGTTTGTGGGCTTTACTGCAGTGGGAGACCCTCGGCCAGCCGGCCCTTCACCTTTCCTGATGATGCGCAGCTCACTGGATGGTTTCTAGGCTTCAACTCTCCCTTTTGGGCAGAAACACCGTGTGAGGAGCATTGGAGAACAGTATGAACGTTCATCAACTTTACCGCTTGATTCAGGCAACATGCTTGCACTACACGTTTCTTCTGTGTGTATGTGTCTGTGTCCATGTCCGTGCTTGTATGTGTGTATGTGTGCACACATGTGTGGAAAAACGTGTGCATGCAGATGTGTGGAGGTCAAAGGTCAATGTCAGGTGTTTATGTCTATTGTTATTCACTTTATTTTCTGAGGCAGCATCTCTTATTGAACCTAGAACATACCAATTCGACGAAACTGGCTGGCCAGGAAACAGGTATCGCTTTCCCTGGCTCTGCCTCCCAGTGCTGGGATTACAGACACGCACTGCCCTGCCTAGCTTTTCATGTGGGTACCTGGGATCTGAACTCAGTTCCTTATGCTTGACTGGTAAGCACTTTACTGACAAGTCATCTCCTTAGCCCCCGCACTGTATCTCTCTACTGACTATTTGAAGTATTTCTTATACTATATATTACGTGTATATAAATTGGATACATATAGTATGTACTTATGACTTAAGGAATATACGTAAGCAAACAATTTGCCCTCCACCCAGCTTAAGAAATAAGAGCTTGACATACATACACACACACCAACATACACATACACACACACACACACACACACACATACACACAACTCCCAAGAAATAACAGTTTAACCAAACCTATACAGCCTCTCACTGTTCCTCAAGAGTTTCTGTGCCAGATATTTTTAGTTGTTATCACCTAGCAGTTTATATGTCACATAAACACATGTGATCATGCCACAGTACATTTGCTTGAAATGACTTTGAATGTCATAAAATCATACTGAAGATATTTTATGATTTGTTTTTCTAATTCATTTTTTCTGATACAGTATCTTATGTGGTAGCCCAGGCTGACTTCAGATTCCTGATGTACTCCAATTTCATCTCAAACTCATGATCCTCCTACCTGTGCCTCCTAGGCACTGGGATTACAGGTGGGGCCACACCTGGTTTTATTCAGTTTTGAGACTTGACCACATTTCTGCATGACCTGCAGTTCGTTCAGTCATTCCCCAGTTATTTCGTGAGGCCTACTACAGCCGGTAGTACTTTTACACCTCTCAAGGTAAATTCATGCCTACCAAGTGCTAGGGAACTTGGAGACACAAGCACAGAGCCCTTCAGTAAAAGTACACTTCCCACATCTTCAAATGATGATAAATAGCTTTTGCAAGAGGCGGCACCTACCTGCAAGGCACCCAGAGCTAGGGCTTACATTTCTGCTTCATTAAAATGTTGCTCTGTTATTCTTTTAGTTTTCATTTACTGAACTATTAGCAACTATCCTCTAGAATAGCTGGGACTATAGGCCTGTAACACCAGTCTAATTAGACTTTTTAAAGTTTTTCATCCTCTTTGGCTATCTGTTGGAGGCTTTTGGTTCTGAACTCCCAGGAGGCCACCCCGTTGTGTTAAATACTGCTTACTTCTGTGTCGTTCATGGGTTGGGCTGTCTATTCGCACCGAGAGGTCAGTATTACCAAAATCAATGACTGACATAGCCTTCCTTAAATTTCTAGAATATTGCTGAATTTCTGCATGTTCTCTGTAAGCATGTCTTCCTCAGGACAATGAGTGAAAAGAGCCTCAGCCAGTGAGCAGGTTTGTTTGGAAATATACATAGACATATTGGAACTTTTGAAAAACAAGATTGTTGGCTTGGGTTTACTATGAAATCGAAACTCTAACCTTACTTACTACATTGTCTCACTAAGTGAGCAATTCCAGAGCTCCCTGCTTGGCTCTAGAAATTATATTAGCTTCTCACAAATGATGCCCAACTCATTCCATCTCA